TAAGCCACCAGGTCCGGGACTCGAACCGTGGTCGACTACGTGGGAGTCCAGTGACATGCCCATTACGCTAACTGCTGGTCCCTCCTTTTTTTCCTCTTTTTAAGAGATTTTTGCTGTAGGGTACATGCACTCACCAGAGAGACAGAGAGACAGAAAGTGAGAAATCACCCCCACACAGGGGGGGGTGACCACACTGCAATCCTTTCTCCTCCATTCTCCTGGGACTTTGGGCATGCACACACATGCCCCCGGCATGAGTTTCAAGCTGCTGGGTCTGGGACTTGAACTGGTGGTCGACTACATGGGAGTCCAGCACCTTAACCCCTAGGCCACCTGCCGCCCCATGCACAATCATTTCACATGCACCTTATTATCCAGTTGAGAAAAGTGCATAGAAAATGACTTCCCCAAGGTCATGCCCCATTTGTAAGCAGAGAGCAAGGACTGAGAGTGTCGGAGAAACCCCCTCTATTTTAAGCTATGCTAGAAAGTCCTTGGTAAGCAATTCAGCTCCAAGCTTTTCAACACTAGACTTCGAGACCGGCCATCACCATCACCCATCACTCAGAACTATGTATTGAATAACCCTACGATCCGGGCACAGTGCAACCCAAAGCATATATACATACATTAACAGATATGGTCTCTGTTTTCATAGAGATTATGGTCTAATAAGGAATATTACGGTGGCAAATGATGGTAAAAAGCCCCAAGGCCAAGCCAGCAGGTGGCACGGTGATTGAAGCGCTGGACTCCTACATGGTCTACAGCAGTTCAAGTAGTCCCAGAATTGGCGGCTTAAAAATCACACCCGGCACGTGTGTGTGCCTGCTCAAAAAATCCCAGAAGGAGAACGGAGAAAGGATTCCCACAACGCCATCCCTCTGAGGGCTAATTTCTCACTAGCTCTCTCACTCCGGTGCGAGCACACACACCCTATAGCAAAAATTTAAAAAAAATTTTTTAAAGACCCAAGGTCCAGCCCTTTAGCCTAGTGGTTAAGGGAGCTGGATCCCATATGATGAACGGCAGTTTGAATCCCAGCCCTGGCAGCTTGAAAAATACAGTGGGAGCATACACATGTGCTCAGAACCCTGGCAGGATGTCGAAATGGAGAAGGGACTGTGGTGTAATCACACCCCATGGGGCTTTGCCCTCTCCCTGTCTCTCCCTCTGGTAATTAAAAAAAAAAAAAGATTCCAAAGAATAGAAAACAGAGGCAACAATTAAGAAAGGGGAAGCAGGATTGGATGGTGAAGTGCTGAGGTCCACCCACATGGGAGGTTCGAGTCTGGATACCCATACTCGGGGCATGCTGTGCCCTGATTCAGGGCTGGCTGAGGCTGGGGTGGGTCATGGCGTGGAGCCCCTATTAGGGTGCTGTCTCTCTAGCTCAGGGGAGAAGTAAATAAGAATGATTATAAAAACGGGTGGTGGCAACGTTGGAGAAGACGCCTCGGAGGCAGTTACATCTAGGCTAACATCTAGAGAGTTACACATTACCCAGTGAGGGAGGTTGGAGGGGAGGGCATTCCAGGAAAAGGAAGGGGTACCTTGGAAGGTCCCGAGGCTGTGTAATGAGAAAAGAGAAGCATGCACAGGAGGGCCGGAGGCAGAGTGCATCAAGGGCCTGCCAGGCTCTGAGTTTGACCTTACTCAGCGGAAGAATCACTGAGAGGTTTTAAGGGGGCATCCTCCAGGTTATATTTATCCAAACGTCGCCGTTCATGGCTGTGCAGATTGAAAGGAAAAGCAGTGTCCTGGGAAGAAATTCCGGACTCCTGGAGCAGGCTACTGGCCTACAGAGCTGGGAGTGAGCCTATCTGAGATACAGCTTGGACACAGAAGTCCAGGACTTGGACACGGTCTGACTACAGGAGCAAAGGATGTGTCAAGAGTGTCCTTCCGGGGACCAGCAGTTAGCCTAATGGCTATGTCGCTGGACTCCCACATAGTCGACCACGGTTCAAGTCCCGGACCCAGTGGCTTAAAACTCATGCTGGGCACGTGTGCGTGCGTGCCCAAGATCCCGTGAGGAGAATGGAGAAGGGATTGTGGTGTGGCCATACCCCCTGGGGGGTGATTTCTCACTTTCTGTCTCTCTGACGAGCGCACGCGCCCTATAGCAAAAACCTCTATCAAAAAAAAAGTGTCCTTCAGAGCCAGCCGGTGGCATGGAGGTTAAGGTGCTGGATGTCACATGGCTGTCTGCAGTTCAAGGCCTGGACACTGTGGCTTGAAAATCACGCTGGGTGTGTGTGCGTGCCCCAAATCCTGAGAGAATGGAGGAGAGGGCATTGCAGTGTGGCCATGCTCCCTGAAGGGTGATTTCTCACTTTCTCTCTGGCAAGCGCATATACCTTTTAGCAAAAAAACTTAAAAAAAAAAAAGCCCTTAAGGTTTCCAACCTGACTGGGTATGTGGAGGGAGGTATCTTTTACTGAGATGGGAATTCAGGGGACCAGCAGATGGTGTCATGGTTACGTTGCTGACTACGTTGTAGTCAATTGCAATTTAAGTCCCAGCCTTGGCGACTTAAAACTCACGCCAGGCATGTGTGCGTTGAGTGCCCAAGATCCCGAGAATGGAGAAGGGATTGCAGTGTGGCCATCAACCCTGGGGGGTGAGTTCTCACTTTCCGTTTCTGTCTCTGGCAAGAGCGTGCACCCTATGGCAAAAATCTCTTAAAAAAACAAACAAACCCAAACAAAACAAAACTCAGGAAGAGCAGGTATTTAGGAAAAAAGATCAGATTTCAAAGGCTATTAAGTTTGGGGCCAGCAGTTGGCATAATGGTTATGTTGCTGGACTCCCATGTAGTCGACCGCTGTTTGAGTCCCAGACCTGGTGGCTTAAACTCACGCCAGGCACGTATGCGTGCGTGCCCAAGATCCCGAGAGGAGAATGGAGAAGGGATTGTGGTGTGGCCATCCCCCCTGGGGGGTGAGTTCTCGCTTTCTGCCTCTCTAGCAAGCGCACACACCCTATAGCAAAAACCTCCCCCCCCAAAAAAGCTATTGTTTGAAAAAAATGTGACATTTGTGAGATGATGGGCCTCTAAGGAGTGGACCACAACATGGATGCAATTGTGACATTGGCGACCCTTCCGCTCAGAGCAGCCTTGGCACGGTGTACTCACATTTCCGACCTACGCCAAGACCGGCAGGCATCAGTGTCCTCACCTCACAGATAGAGGCTCCGACCCTGCGGGGCTTCACTCGGCCTCCCCCACGTGCCAGTACATTCCAGGCCGGGTGCCAGGACAGGGAGGCAGGAGGCGCTGCACTGTCTCAAGGATGACACAATCGAATCGCGTTGTAACAATATTCCACCCAGAAATACCTTCCCCTGTCCTAGGACAAGAAGCCTCAAGAGTGATAACTATAGGAGGTACAAACCAAAAATGCTCACTAAAAAGTCTTCCCATTTAACCATTAGAACATTTTTCTTTTATTTTTCTTTTTAAAATTATTTATGAAGGCACTTCAACTTGACCAAAAAGACAGAGAGAGAGAGAGAGAGAAGGCAAGCTGCCAGGTCCAGGACTTGAACCACAGTCGGCCATGTGGGAGTCCAGCATCTTAATCACCACACCACCTGCTGGCCACAAATTTTTCTTTTTTTAAAAGAATTATTTATTTTATTAATTCATTCATTTTAATTTGACCAGAGGGAGACACGGGGTGGGGGGAGGGGAGGAGTATAAAAGCAAGCCACCAGGTGGTCTGGGACTTGAACCGTGATCAGCCATGTGGGAGTGTCCAGTGCCTTAACCACCACACTACCTGCTGGTCCCCCATTAGAAATTTTCAAAGTGGGGAAATTTGTAGGGAAGCAACTGAGAAGATGAGGATCTGAGACTGCGCATCATGTCTCTAGAGCTCTGGAGAATATAACCTGGTGCTTTGTTTTCCTTGTGAAAAATTTTAAATTTATTGTCATTATTTATTATTATTTTATTTTTTTGAAGTTGACTATAGAGAGAGAAAGTGAGGAAGCAAGCCAGGTTCGGGACTCAAACCGTGGTCAGCCACGTGGGAGTCCAGCGCTTTAACCACGCCACCTGCCAGCCCTAACCTGAAGCTTTGTGAGAAGCAGCCCGGTGTGGAATGTACGACTGTGAACTGAGTGAAGTAGGTCAGAGCCCTGACTACGAGGTCAGCACCCCACCCTACCTATGTATGGAACAAGGAGGAGAAAGAACGGAGGCTGAGCACACCGCTGCCAACTCATGGACACGACCCCTTCAAGTACTTAGTTTCCAAACCAGCGGAGCTGAGTCCTACTTGCCCCCATCGCTGTAGGCCCCGGGCTGCAATTTCACTGGAACGTAGCGATGCACAGGCTCGGTGCTGTGGGCAATGAGCATACTGGCCCGGCTGGAACTCCATTTCAGTCCTGTTCCGAGGGGAGAGGCTCGGCTCATTATAGCAGCTACACTGGCGTCAGGACACAGTCGTACTCAACCCCTCTCGAGTGCTTTCTTCCTGGAGCCTCAAATAGAAAGTACTTGCTCCCCAGATTTCTTGGGCCTCAGTGGTCAGTTCTATTTCTTTTATTTTTATTTATTTATTTTTTTAAGCAAAGAAAAAGTTTATTAATTTATTTCTTCCATGAGAGAGAGGCGCCTTTTCTTTAGGTTTTTGCTGTAGGGCGTCCCGGCAGTAGTCAGCTCTAATCCTCTTCACATCTCTCCCCCAAAAAAGGCATGTGGGGAGAAATGTCTAGCCCTCCTCTCAATTCCCTTTTGCTCAACAAAGGCTGGGCTGCGCTTAGAGAGCTCAGAGAGCAACGACCCTCCACTTTACCCAAAGCTACAGTGAAGTGCATGCAGTCAGTCAAGGGCTATCCAACCCTCTTGGAAAGTCCCTCTGATGGGCTCACCAGGGCTGGGAGGCCAGAGAGGGACAACGGCAGCAGCCTCGCTATCTTCCTGCAGAGCGTCCCTGAAAATGAAATGCTCCTCCAGGTTCGACAGGCACCGACCTGAGATGAACATTCACACTAACTGGCAAATCCTGCCTTATGGCACAGATTTATTGAAAAACTACATGCATATTAAGACATCTTTATATACATTTCCCCATTATAAGATTACAAATATACAAACATGAGTTCTGTCAGTCATCCTGATTAAGACCATACCAGAACACCTGCACCCTAATTTCATCAGTTAAGCTCTCCGTCTCCCAATAAAGCCTGGCACAATTGTACCCAACTTCCCAGTGGAGCGCGACCACAGCATTTACACGGAATGGTTTTCCAAAGCGGCACCGAAGCTCAGTTCAGAGCAGAAAAATCTGTCTAAAATTCTGAGAGCTTGGCAGTAGTTCAGGGAAAATGGGGAGTGATGGCCATTCTCAGCATTTTTACAAAAGTCCATGGTAGTCTTTTCTCAAAATCAGTAAAGAAATACTAAAATGTCCTCCAACTGGTCAAGTCGATGTACTCAACCCAGGAGAACGCAATAAATAATGCTTGTATTTCTTCCTGTCAGGTTGAGAAGGAGGTCCTGGAGCGACATTTTTCATGTTAAGAATTCAGTCCAGAAAGTCTCTCGGCGCCACAGACAACTAGATGTGAACAGACACTGCCGTAACCCTTTATCTCACCCCCATACTCCAGAAAAGTGGGTGGAGGTCTTTCTGACTTGGGCACCAGTTAAAGTCCTTATGATCAAGATGGCAGAGGTTGGGGCCAGCAGGTGGCATGCTGCCTGGAGTGCTGGACTCCCACATGGCCAACCGTGGTTTGAGTCCCGGGTTTGGTGGCTTGCTTTCTCACTGCCTCTCTCTTTGTCTCTGTCTCTTTCTAGTGAGCACACGTGCCCCACAGCAAATTAAAAAATAACAATGATAATCAATAAAATTAGATGAATAATTCTTTAAAAAATAAACAGGATGGCGAAGGTTAACTGAGAAGGAACAAACAGAAGGCCAGGACTGACAGAACAGCCGTCTCGTGGTTCCTGGGTCCTCTCCTAGCAACGCTTTCACTGGGTCCTGGTCACCAGGTACAGAGCTTACACATGCGAGGGAGCCATCTGGGTACTGGCTGTCACCGCTTTCCGTAATTTTCTGTAACACCACCTCTTTCCTCCACCTCCAATCTTCCCTACCACAAAAAGGAAGCTGTTAGGATAAAATGTCAGGTGTTTAGTGGAGGAAGTAAGGCTTCTCGTAAGTGTTCTGTAAACACTGCAGAATTCAGACACGGCTGACCCGGGAGCTAATACCAGGAAGGAGAGGCCCAGAGCCCGGCCACAGAACTCAACTCCGTCCGCCGTCCTCAGGCACAGATCGTGGGGAAGGAGGGTCAGCGGTGTGAGCTCCAGCTCAGGCACCGCTCAGTGCAGTCTGCGCCTGCGGGTGTTAGCGCTCCAAGTAGCTGAAGATGCTTCGCCTCGACCCTGAAGTGTTGTCATCTGTTTTGAGGTGTTTGGGCGAAGGAGATGTCATTAAAGACGGAGCCTTTCTCTTCACCTAGATACCAGACAGGGAGTCAATGGCAGCTCTCTCACATGCACTCGCTTTCGTTATGCTTTTAATCCGTTCATAGACAAATCATGGATAAACAGAAAAAAGAAATACAAACTTTCTAGGTGAGTTTAAAAGCTGGTTATGGGGCCAGCCGATGGCATGGTGGTAAAGACAGCTAGATCCCACATGGCAAACTGCAGTTTCAGTCCCAGACCAGGCAGCTTGAAATGCATGCTGGGTGTGTGTACATGTGTGTCCAAAATTCCGAGGAGAATAGAAGAGAAGGGACTGCAACATGGCCGTCCTCCCTGGAGGGGAGGGGTGCTTTATCCCTTCCTTCCTCTTTCTTTGTTTCTCTCTGGTGCGTACACGCACCCTACAGTAAACTAAAAAGGAAAAGGCTGACTATAGCCCAGCTATTGTGGCAGGTAAGGCCACATGCGAGGCCCAGGTTCAGGGCCGGCCCAACCTAGACAGGCGAACATAGTGGCCCACGCCTCTCTGGTCCTTGGAAAGAGAATCATGACTTCGTACGATCAGGTGCAAATACTTCCCTCTCTTACTCCCTGCCACCCTATTTCTTAAAAAACAATTTAAAGCTGATTATCCACAGGGATAGCAATTCCTTTGTATTTTATTGGGAATGTAGGATTTCAACAGGCAACATAAGCTGTTACAGCAAAAAATAATTTTTAATTGCCAGAGAGCACATGCATCTACCAGAGAGAAAGCACACCCCCACACATCCCCGGAGTGTAGTTCCGCCACAATCCCCTTTCCTCTATTTCTCCATCCCACCAGGATTTTGGACACGTACCTGGCGTGTTTCTCAAGTCACTGGAGCGAGTATCTACACTGTAACTGATCATGTGGGATCCATTTTCATGTGCACAGTGCTTAACCTTTGTTGCTATGGGGCTAACCTGAATTTTTGTTTTTCAATTAAAATAAATAAATTCTGGCATGGGGAGTCACCATATCAGTTCTCAAATTTCCTACCCGAGGTTTAGAAGATTCCTTGGTCGCCTCCGCCTTGACAGGAGAGAGTGTATGAAAGACGAAGTTCCTTGAATTTCGGGGCGCGCTGGGGTTGAGGTCAGAGAGCGCAGCCAGTTTCTGAAGTACGGCTTTGGGCTGACTCAGCAGCGAGCCTGTCTTCACCTGGGAAAGGAAGAGGCAGCTGATCCCAAAGCCCAAGGACCAAGGGAAGAGTGAAAGCCAGTCCTTCCCTGTCTCCCAGGTGTGAAGGGGACATAGTTTGATCCTACATAAATAGAAAATAGCAGTCTTTTCTGACATCTGCTTCCAGCTGCTGCAGCCACCCCCTCCCCTAACGACAAGGACTATCCCCCAGGCTTCCCCTGGGCCTTTATAACCTGCAGACTATGACATCAGGCTAACAAGGTCCCAACCAACCTGGTGAGCACTTCCTGGTCTGAGGGCTTCGAAAGGATTGCTGAGTACAGACTTTGGTTCCTCAGCAACCACAGGGTGACTGGCTGGAAAGAAAAGACAGAGAGGTTTATCTGGGAAAGCTGGCTAGACTTTAAATCTAAACGAGCTAAGCCTTGTAACGAAACCAAGAAGCTAAAGCCGCAGAAATTATAGTTTGATAATGATAACAGAAAATACGGTAAGGGGCTCCAAGAAGACAGACTATAAGCTGAATTTAACCAAAAAATCATTGTCAGCGATAATTTAAAACACAAAAACAAACAACAGTGGGGCAGTTAGTGTGTGGAGTAGCATTTTAAGAGTTTCATTTCTGAAGTTAAACATATCTGGGTTTGGGCCAGCAGGTGGTGTGGTGGTTAAAGGCACTGGATTCCCATATGGCAGATGGCAGTTCAAGTCCTGGACTCAGTGGCTGGAAAGCCACAACACATAATCAATAAACAAATAAATAACTGTTAGAAAAAATAAATTAAGGGAACCAGCAGTTAGCGTAATGGCTATGTCGCTGGACTCCCACGTAGTCGACCGCGGTTCATGTCCCGGACCCGGTGGCTTAAAACTCACGCCGGGCGCGTGTGCGTGCGTGCCCAAGATCCCGAGAGGAGAATGGAGGAGAAGGGATTGCGGCGTGACCATCCCCCCTGGGGGGTGATTTCTCGCTTTCTGTCTCTATGTCTCTCTCTGTCTGTCTGGCGAGCGCACGCGCCCTACAGTGAAAATCTCTCTCCAAAAAAAAAAAAAAA